TGATCATCTACAAGTAAGCATTTTCAAACTTTTGTAAATTATGTAATTAATGGTATTTGGAAAAGCAGGTATGTTTTACCGATAAACTTTTTGTATCTTTCTCTTAATTCGTAGCAACTGCAATGGGATGTGCATTCATTTTCTAATCCAATATGCGTTGTTTGTTTATTAATTCAAGTACGTTCATTTAGAAAATATATAGACATTTCCAAAATGGCAATGGAATTTCTTTAAAACATCTTCAGCATTGTTATTGCATCTTTATATAAACTTCTACTAATTGTTTTCTTCTTTTACCGTCAGCAAGATTATAATATAATTTATACTCATTCTCTATTTCTGCTTAGCATATTATGGTTTATTTACCCTTCCGTGTTAAATTCTAGATTATTGAAATTAACGTTTAAAAATTAAGCTGCTTTATTCCTTCAAAATATATTGTTATTGATACTTTCGAATATTTTCGGAGATTATTTTTTCGCATTTTTAAGTTTTAGATTCGAATATGTTCTTTTTTTTTTTATTATTTTTTTATTTGACGTTTACGTAAGCTGAGAGTTATTTATCGTGTAATCATGTAGTCCGTGATATCTAAATCTGACAACAAATTGTAACAGCTTTAAATATTATTAAAATCTTGTACTTTAAAATAAATAATTTAATTAGATGAACATTAGGGTAAATGTGAATAACAATGTTTGAAACCAGGTTCGAGTGCCACGTGCGACACTCGCACGAAGAATGTATTTTGTTTTTAAAATGTTAGAATTCGCTTTTTTTTTTTTTTTTTTTTTTTTTTTGTATGTTGTATTTTCAGTGCTAAATAAAGTTTTTCTGTGTTCCATCATTGAAGTTGCTTCATATTGCCAAAGAAGTATCACAAAATATACCTATTTTAAATTTTTGCAATGTTTAAAAATTATTTTATTTTTGGCGTAGACATTAATACCCACAGAAATATAATATTAAACATAAACGCATAAACAGAATTATATTAATAGTATATTTAACAGTGTTACAAATTTTGTGCACGGATAGATGATTTTAGTGCAGGTATATGTGAAACTGCTGTGTTTTTCTGTGTAATGTAATGCGAAAAGTCTTACGAGAGAAGCTATGCCGGAATACAAGAGCAAGTGCATTTAACGTTGAGTAAATGGGTATCTTGGTAATTTGGCGAGAAATCTCCAAAAGTGCCAAGCTTGGCGACATTTTGGTCCATCCCTGTGTCACCGTAATAAGTATTGTAACTGAATAAATGTAATTGATCACTATATTAGCTGCAACTGTAATTTGACCCTCGTATGCTTCCAGTATTTCGAGAAGAAAAGTTAGAAATATCTCGACGTTGGTGAAAATTATAAGGCCGGAGAGAAGCTTGCTGTCATAAGCTTAGCACAGCGAGTCATAGCCGTGAGTTCATGCCCACAATCTAAATGGCAATACTAACAATTCGCAGTACATGAATTCCTTAGTGAGATGTGTTATGCCTCCTTATGATATGTGTAATCTCTTCAACGCATGTGAACAAGCCTCTTCTTTGCAGTGTTATGACGCTTGTGTGCCTGTCGGGCACTCATTGCGGGGCATGCCTTTAGGCTACACATCTCGTGCTATTTAAAACCGTGTTTTTTTTAATCATGTTCTAGCGACGCTACAATAATCACACCTTAGCAACCTAATGACTCTCTGCACACATGAGTATTCTGACTCATATCATCATTCATATGTACCTGTATTACTCAACAGAACGCCCTACATAACTTGCTCCAGCTTTCCTGGACTTCATGTACTCCCTTTTTTTTTTTTTTTTTTTTTTTTTTTTTGGCCTTAAGTGACATGTGTATTACCTGTTTTATGTGCTCTTGTTTATGCATTTTATGCATGGGTTTGTGTATGTTTTCTTGTGTTTTTATGTGTACATCTTATTGTATTTTTGTTAACTACCTACCATTGTAACCACAGTTTGCCTCTAACTGTAAAAACAAAAAAAAAAAAAAAAAAAAAAAAAAAAAAAAAAAAAAAAAAAACCTCAATAACCCTGGTGCACAACCACTCTTGGGCTCCCAGGGATCTTTTGCTGTAGAGAGGGTGGAACCATCCTGTTACCTCTCTTAGACACCAGGCGTTCCAGTCCTCCGTAACCAACCTAACTACCTGCCCAGGCGTGACTATTACTAGTGGAAAACTTTTCCCAATACCAGTACACTACAGCCTGCAGTTAAACAACACCGAAGCTCCACTCATGAGTTCTGTTAAACATTTGGATGTCCATCTCAATAAATTTCCTCGAACATATCTACCAAGTTTCTATTTAAGCGCGCAAAACATTTATGGCAGTCTGCTCTCTCCTTAAAAGAAACTCTCAGCTCAGTATTGGAAACAAGTCTAATCCAGCGGTTCTCAACCTTTTGCCTAACACGTACCATCTAAACAAAAATTGAAAACCTTTAATACTACCACTACAAAGTACTACTACCATCAACACTCTTGAACAAAGCTCAGGTCGCATACATTTACGAGTGTTAGTAAAAAAAACTCAATCCGGATGTTGGGGTTTTAATTTTTGAATTCAATAGTTAAAAATACTTTGCTTCTTTGCATGTCAAACTTATTTTTTTTCTTTTGCGTTGCCACCAGTGGTAAGCGTACTAGCGGTTGATAATCCCTGCTATAAATCTTATCTAAAATTATTTACAACATTTGCCACTGGTCACTTTGAAATTGTTGAATTTCATCAGAAATTCGTTAAAGTACAACAAAAATTAAACGTTAAAATACACTTATAACTATTAATAGTATAGACAATCCGAATTCGGCTTCAGGTGCCCCTGTTCGGGTGAGGACCTGGTATACAAATTTGTGTCTGTAGGTACTGATTTTTTTTTCAAGTGCGAGAACGTAAATCCCCTAATGTGGATTCTTCATTATTTATTTCTTTAAATATATACAGGGCCTAATATTTGTGGCAACAATTTAAAAAAACGACTTTATAGTTCTTAATAAAACTCATAATTCACTTAATTCCTATGACGGCAGTGGACGCGGCGCAAGAAAGTGATTGGACACTTAAAGTATTCGAGCAATGCTTCGAGACTAATACCTTTCTTGTTTGACGCCCATTGGGCTTAAAAAAAATAAAATTAAAAATATAATATAAAAAAGTAACAAATAAATAAAAATTTTTAAAAAATTCTGAGAGGTTTCAGATTTTATATTTCGCCCAATGGGCCGTTTTCTTCATTTCCCAGTTTGAAGATGGCTAGCTGAAACCTCATCGAAAGCATAACTACTATTCCACGTGTGCGTTTTCGAAAAACTTAACAATTCGGCAGCATTATTTAAGATTTTCTTCCATATTTTTGCCCTCTTTTATCTGAATTATCAGTTATATTTTGAAACAGGTGAGGAAAAAACAGCATCTTTAATTTAAGAACCACAATAAGTTATTCAATTCAATAAGAAAACGACCAATAACATCTAGCAAATGAAGCATAAATACAGACTATCCAGTTTTTCACAGCAAGAAAGGTGAAAAATCAAATGTCCCCAAAAACAGATATACCATTTGTTAACTGGATAGGTTAAACACTTATATCACGAAGGTATGAGGCATAATTCCTTATATTCTTCCGTACTTAAAGAGGGTGATGAGAAGAGACATAAGTTCCAGTCTACTAATTAATAATGACTTCTATATTCTTAGTATGGATGTCACTGTTTTTGTTTTTGTGTTTGGGAAGCATGAAATATGAATTGTGCCTTATTTTGGATTCGAATTACTAGTTGGATATTTACACGGCGAGAAAACCACTTACGCCACAAGAGAATGCCTGGGGAATGCAACAGTTATTCTGTACCATGAATTTATATGTTTATCATATATTTTAAATTTTACTTTCTCTAAATCCTGTATTTCCAGATCAAAATGGCTTGGAAAAGACTGTGTCTCTTAGGATTAGCTTTGGTGTCATTTACTGTTGTTCGCGCAGATATGCCTTTCCAGCTTCGGACTATGCTCAGCAAAGCAGATGATAGCAAGAACTTCTGGGGCATGCCTGAAGTAAGCCTGCATTTTAAACGCTCTTAAAAAAAATCGCAAAGGATTTAGATTTTAAATTACGTCCATAGGGGCGTTTTTCTTTTTTACATTTTATCTGTTACCTTTATTAATTAAATATCACGTTCTTCGCACTTAAACCATAAAATTCAGTTCAAGAGTAATATTGCAAAATAGTTTTAAATTGAGTATATCTTTAGAATTTCCGATACACATTTCACGCGCACTCGAGATAAAAATGGTTCCTTTTCCCCCCGCAGAACGTGTTGCCATTGCTTCGCTTTGAAATCCTTGAGTTTGTTATCAAAAATTCGTTAAAGTTTTACAAACTATGAAAATCGATAATAAAGCAAATTTCAAATTTCAAATTTGGGCTTCCACATGCCCATATTCGCAGTAAGATTTCGTCATTATTACGTCAGCGATCGAATTTACGTCATTCAAAATTCGATGGCTCTATCTACCGTTGTTTTATCACAATGCAAGAAATATACATATATTTATGAAGATTTTTCATTATTTAATTTCTTCAAATATAATGCAGAACTCTAACATTGGGTGGCAAAAGTTTGAAAAGAGAAAGGGACATTTATAGTGAACCAACGCAATATCGCAAAACGAAAACAATAGTCCTTCAGGAACAAAGCCTCTTCAGACAAGAAAATCTAATATCCTTACTAATATTATAAATGCAAATGTGACTTTGTTTGTGTGTTTGTTTGTTTCTTATGCTTTCACGCCTTAATCGATAATCAAGAAATACGTAATTTTGATATATTAATAAAGGTTATAGACTATAAAATGTCTTCGTGCGACTTTAATTAGTCGAGATATTAATTAAAAACTACTTTTCCCCTACATTTTTCACTTACTTTGTTGGGTTTTTCTCTATTAAAGGAATTTGGCTACGCGCTAATTTACTTTTTCACAAATATCTATGGAACGGCGGTTAGTTTCGAGACACATATTCCCCGATTCCAAAAATTTGTCAAAATCCATCGATAGCATTCTCATCTTCGTACGACTTTAACCAGCTGAGATATTAATTAAAAACCCTGAAAACGCTAATTTGAATGAGACTCAATAGCGACATTAGGGATTTTTTCTTAGGTCTTCCCGTGTGGGTCTATTAAATTGGTGATAAAAATTATAACTTTTGATCTAATTATCCCAATTTCTCGAAATTTAGAAACTTGTGTCGCACTCTGAATGATAGGAACAGTAGTGATGGAACTGTTTTTGTCGCTTTATTATTTCCAGCTTAATCGCACATGAAACAATACTCAGCTTGCTGTTGTTAACTCTTTGTTGACGAGCTGCCATTCGAAATCGGCAGTAGCTGGTATCCGGTCAAAGAATCTATAGCGAGAATAAAAGCAGTAGATTTTTTGATTCGGTCGACCGTTGGGTTGGCGAAAATGTCAAAGTTCACGGATTTACACGTGGAAAATCATTTAAAAATTAATAACTTGACCAATTAACTTACCGATTTGAAACTATTATCAACATTTCGACTTTTGTGATACATTTAATGTTTTATTTCGTATTTTTTTAAAGATCTATTCATTCGTGTTATATATTTCCGTTATTGGTGCATGAAAAATTGCATTTACATTTTATATTTTTTACATTTTGCTGCGTGCGATAACAACTATCGTTTTACCATTTTAAGGCGCTTGAATGTTCTTTCTTTTTAAAAATAACGCTTTGGTCAAGCATAAATACAAAATATCCGCCACCTATAGGTATTGAAGAAGGGCAGTATTTACTAAAATTTTACGCTTGAAACTTATTTTAAGGACATCAACGCGAGTGAAGCCGCTTATAGTAGCTTATAGTAAGCTATAAATTTAATTTTACAAACACAGTTTTTGCCTTCTTTTTCTTTGCAAATTTCAGTCTCTGTGTTGCAGAAAATAAAAGTGTATGAAATTTTCTTGATATGCTAGTGTATATTAAATTAAATTTCGTGTATGTTAAAAATGCTACCACTAACTGTTTTGTTTGGTTTAATGTCACGTTAATGAAATTTTCTTGATATATCAGCCTATATTAAATTAAATTTCCTGTATGTTAAAAATACTACCGTTCTCTGTTTAGTTTTAGTTATAATGGCTTAAAATGATGATATTTTAATGTCACGTTAATGAAATTTTCTTGATATATCAGCGTATATTAAATTAAATTTTGTGTATGTTAAAAGTACTACCACTCTCTGATTTTTTAGTTATGATGGCTTAAAATGCTGATGATTTCGTTAACGTTATTGATTTTTCAAAGAGAAACTTTTTGTTCTTGTTGTTGTTATTTCGTACATTATTTTCCTGTTATTTCTTTATAAGGTATGATGTACTGGAGTTCAGCGATAAAAAGTACAGTAGTATAATTTATAAGGTATGATGTACTGGAGTTCAGCGATAAAAGTACAGTAGTATAATTTATAAGGTATGATGTACAAGCAAAGTTTTAACATTCATTAAACTTTAAAGTTGTAGAGCCATTAGGTAGGATGCTGGAGATGGGAAAAATTAGCAATGCCCTCTCCGATACTCGAACTTGGACCTCTCGAATATGCGCCGAGTGTGCTAACCGTTACAACACGAAGGCTTGCAGAGAGGAGGGAGAAAACACCTTATTAACTTTTGGAACTGTATACGATGCTGTACTGTTTAGGCAAAGTATACTTTCACTGTTCTTCAGTACCTTTAGAAATAACCAAAACATCAGAATTCTTTACTATCCTATGTGCGGGAAAGTATGTTGGAAGAAGGGAGAAAAATCACTTTATGAACACTAAAATTTTATATTCTATAATTACCTTTGACAGAAGTAATGTCACTATATGACTAGTTCTGCAAGTTCCTCCCAGATCAGAACATGTCCAGACATGACCACAAGAATATGACCAGAACATGTCTTAGTAACATAATGAAGAGAAGCAGTAAAAATCAAGAATAATTATGCAAAATTCAGTATCAGTTGGCATTGATTTACTATAAAGAAGCACAAACTAAAATTAAATTTAGATTTATCAAAAGCTTAAATGAAGATTACTGCTCTAGACCCCTAAATCGCATCTTAAAGACGCGAGTTTCAACGAATTTGAATTGACAAAAAGAACTGAAAGTAGCCAAATTTGAAACCGGGCTGGCTAGCTAACTCGAGACTTTAAACATTTGTGCTGAATATTTCGTAATATATGATTACCGTTGCTCATGATGTGTATTAGAACGTCTAGTACCCGCTCTTGGACCTACTTAAATTTAACTAGAAAAGCAAGCTTCATTTTACATTAAAGACAAATTCAAAGATTGAAAAATAAAATCTGAAAGGTTTCAAATTTTAACGGTGGCTCAAAAAGGTTTGTTAGAGTTTTCTACACTCTCGGTGAGCTCGCAGTTTTCTTGGTTTGTTGTTACACTCACTCCTGCTATAACCCATTTGTTTTGTCTTTTTGGCTTCATCAATAAACACCATTTTCTTCGTGCTTACGCAACATACACTTCAACATGAATGGATACTATGTTGTTGTTGTTGTCTTGTCCATATTACATAGAGCAATGGCTTCCAGAGCCTACTCCGAAGAGAGGTTGCACTTTTAATTTCCACCCCCAAATTTGGAGGGAGAGCACTCCATGGGGTATATCGGGGGTCTCTCACCCCTCTCCACTCCCACCAATCCACGCGAGAGGACTTTCGTCTCGCCGCATATTTAAAATGCCGCCATGCTGTACCGACACTATACACTTACAAACATCCATGTCTTCTCCGGAATTCGAACCCGGGCCGTTCGTTACCGTAGTAGGCTCCCCTAACCACTACACCGTCTGGGCGACAATGGATAATATTCCGATACTAACTGAATATTATCTCCTTGAGACTCTGGCAAGCATTCTTCTGTGAAGTACATGGACAAGACAACAACAACTGAGCATTAGAATTTTAATGTAATAAGCAAAACTATTTCTAAGAAATTAAAACTACTGTCTGGAAGCTAAATAATCGCGAAATAATTTTTTTCTTTTCAAATGAACAAAATTTTCATTAATTTGTAAGTAGTCTTCTCTTTAAAGTGTTTAAATTTTGCTTCCTTTATGCTTTATGTCAGAATGCCAGTTATGAATTGTCTTCAGCACTGAAGTCTTCTTTTACAGATTCACCCAATTAGAATGGAATTAGAAAGAGAACCTGGCGTTCTGTTGGGAACAGGAGATAATCTGGATCTTTCAAAGCTGGCAAACGGAGATATGGATAAAGCTGTTCTAAGATCAGGAAATGTTCCTTTCGGAATATCGAGTATTTTAAGACGTAACGGGAGATCTGTAGAAGAGAAAGCTGAATGCCGCATACATGTACAAGTGGTAAGAATTGATTCATTTTTATCTAGCGCTTTTGCAAAGTGTTTATGTTGCACTCCGTTTAATTCTTTAACAATTAAGGGAACAAACAATATATCTGTGAAGATTTTATAAGGTATTTCTCCCACTTTCCTAGCGTCCTTCGTGGTGTAGTGGTTCTGGTGTAGTGGTTCGCTGGGCCGGTATTCCAGAGGTCCGTGGTTCGATTCCCGGCGAAGGCGGTTGCTAATTTTTCAGCTCTCTGGCTACCAAAAAATCCGAATGGCTCTAGAGTGGCGCCCGAACTAAAAGGGTTGTGGATGATGATTCTCCACCCCAGGATTCGGCGACTAGGTCCCTTAAAACCCTAGTCACCCTTTAAAAAGGAGAATATATAAGGTATTTCTCCCACTTTCCTATCGTCCTTCGTGGTGTAGTGGTTCTGCACACTGGGCCGATATTCAAGAGGTCCGTGGTTCGATTCCCGGCGAAGGTGGTTGCTAATTTTTCATCTCTCTGGCTTCCAAAAAATCCTAATGTCTCTACAACTTTATTCCGTACTTATCAATTATTTTTTATTTTAAAACACTCTCCTCTTCCTTCTGATTTCAATTTCCTTAGAATACTAATTTCAATGACGTATATGCAAATCTAAATGAGTTCGGAAGCAGTATTTAAGTAGCAGAATTTGGGAGTTCGCAGTAGAAGAGTTAGTTACAAGTTTATGGCGCATGTTTTGTGCTAGCCACTTACTTTAATTTATATTGATATTCTAGACTCGGCTGCTTTGCTGTGTGCAGCAGGTAAAGCGGATTTAGATTGGAGTAGGAGCCAGTCGTGTAGTTAAAATTTAATTTAGTCTGATTGGATGTACTATTTTGTGTTATGTTACTTAGGCACAAGTAGTGGTTAAATTGTGAACGCCGAGTGAGTGCATGTTCTGTTCAGTTTAGTTAAAATAATAATAGTAACCTCTGTCGGCAGTCATCCATTTTTTCCAAGACATAGAGAGAATTCTCTATTTCGTCTTCAGAAGGGTCTACAATTTATGTTCCCAAAAAGAATGAGACTCTATAAATCATCCAAATTGTAAATTGAAAAAATAATAAGCTTGTTGTAAGCAAATATTGGTACTTTTCCATTTCGCCGGCGCAAATCTCGCCAAGCATACTTTATTGGCGACAACACACAGTATACACATAAAAAATGTTAACAAACGTTAGTTCTAAGAATTTTTTATTTTCAAGGCATAAACATTTTAATATCGGTTAGAATTTTTGCAAAAAGACAATAAATTTGTAAAAAGACATTAATTTAAGAATCTAATATCCTTTCATGGTACAATATCCTGATTCACCGGTTCGTATCACGTGACACCAAGTGATCTCATATCACGTAAACTACGCTACAAAAATCTAATCCCTCTCAGTAATTATCTACATTAATTTCAAGTTAAATCTTAATATGGAATAAAAAGTTTAAATGCAAGAATTATTTCAATTCGTACGAATTCTTACTCAGAAATTATGTAAAACAGCAGTGCTTTACTTCTCTAGTGCATTCTCATTAGAATTGATGAATTTAACCCTTGACTTTACCTTTTCTATATTTTCGGGTGAACGGTGTGGTTGCATCCTAATTGACTTAACTACCGCGAATGGCCTTAGGGCATAAAATTGAACTATCTGGTAAAATTCTATGTAATTGTACGGCAGTATTGAAAGAAACAATTAATCTTATAAGAAATGGCTATGCTTTGTTTTGAAAATGAAGCGTAAAAGATTACCAACGAAGATATTCCATTTGGCATCGTTTGTACCACTTTTGGCGACTTTATCGCCTGCGCCAGCAAAATGGAAAAGTACCCAAATATTTTATTTGTTATGTATTTGATATAGGAAAATATTTCATTACATGTATAGTAAAGACAAAAATAGAATGTTAACATATTTGATAATTAATTATATTTATGAAAGTTTTGCAAACAACAAAAGGTTAAATTTTTGAGAACATTAAAAAAAATTAATTTAAAAAATTAAAATATAAGTGGGAAACAAACTTAAAAAAAATAAAATCTAAGCAAAAAACAAACATAAAAAAATAAAACCTAAGTGGGAAACAAACATAAAAAATGCAATCTAAGTCGAAAATAAACTTTAAAAAAATTTAATTTTTAAGTTGTGTGAGATACATACATATCTATGTACGTACGTACAGACGTCACGGGTAAAACTCCTTTAGAATCCATTTTCAGTCCATTTTACAATCCGTTTTGGAAAAAAAGAGTCCTTTATTCTGTGCGTACCAGAGTCGTAGCTAGAATTTTCAGCGCCCGGGGATAGCTGAAGATTCCGCGCCCACTCCTGGTTGCTAAGAATAGAAAATATTTAATATTAAAATTTCGTAAAATCAGTTTGGCTCTTCCTGGATGCTGCGTCCAGGGACAAATGCCCCTCTTGCCCCCCCCCTTTAGCTACGTCTCTGTAGAGACGCCACCCCAAAATTCGCCCGAATGGATTCAGTAACGGTCAGAATAGATGGATATTTTAGTTAAGATATGATATCGGAATTTTTTTTTTCCGATTATAATATTTCCTTTACTTCGTACAAGGAAGTTAAAAGATTGTGGGAGGAATGGTAGATTGGAATTCAACTGTATTTTCTTTTTCTTTTCTACATTTACCAAAAGTTAGGAATCATTATCTTCATGACTAATATAGTTTCTCTCTCTTACAGACTGAAACTTACGAAGGACGATGCATTCGGCTAAGGAACAGTACTCCAGCATGTCAAAATGATAAATATGTCGCTATCAATTATAATGAATGCAGCTAAGGACACTGACTTCGGATTTACCCTGTTTGATCTCTTCCCTTTATACAAGACTAGGGGCTTCTGATTTATAATGTGATACTCATTTGTAAATTGAAGCAAAAGCCGTGATCTCTAACACTTTGGAAATTTTATTGTTATTTGTCTTAGTGTTGCAGCTAAACTGTATTTTTCATTCTGAATATAAGTGATAGTTTATTTTACTAGTATATGTACTATTATCTTAAAACCCTGTATTCGTTCTTTTATTCATTAAATCCCAATGCATGTGGTTATGCTATCAATGCTCAATAAATAGTGTTCAATATTTTGTGTTATATTCATTGAACAATATTAACATTGACATAAATATTTCCTTTGACAATTTTGCAATAAGCTAAGTGACAATTGGTTGAGAAACACACCAAAGTAATATTTAAAATTAGGGAGAAAAGCAGCCTTGGATTGGCTTAGATTATGAATAAAATTTTGTCGATACTGAGGGCGATCAGATATATCCTCTTCTTCAGAAATAAAAGATTTCAGCGAAGGTGGATGTATACGATTACAGAAAAGCATACAAGGGCTACCTCGTCTAATGAGAGAGATGTCTTCGAGGAGGTTTTTCTACGAGAAACCTCCGTTGCGTTAAGTTTGCCGTTGCCGCCGCGTCTAGCTTGCGAAGCTGCAAGCTGTATACCGGCTATCATCATTTGATTGCTTCATATAGCGATGCAAGGACACAAATGCCTAAGTGAGTCCTGGAGACTAGATAAAATACAAATTTTTCTCATAAACTGGAAGACTATATACACAATATTTACAGCTACTTGCTTTTCATTAAATGAGTGATGAGGAGGAAGTCAAAATCATGCTATAAACACATATTCAGCAAAAATTTTGGACAGAAAACAGATGCGGAAGCACAATAGAACTTTATGTAGGAAAATTTTGGTTATCGCTAAGCATGAAAGTTGCAAAAGGGCGAAGATGGCGGACCTCATGAAGAATCTCGTAGCTGAAAAGTTCAAAAGTAGTTCATTATATTACATTATTGTACTTCCTGATAGAAGTGTTCATTGAGTTTTCTGAGAAACTTCGCCAATGGTTCAATCTTAAGGTCGCCTCTACGAGAAACTGGCTGGTGCCCACGTTAAATATGGGGAAATTATGAAAGTGCTGATTCAGCCAGACCGTTCGCCTGGAATCGAACCCATGTCGAACTACCAGTGTTCAGCAACTACACCTCTCGGTAGCTGCTGAGCGCGAAGGTGGAAGAAGCGGTACCCTCATGTATATAGATTTCCATATAAATACTACTTTAAATACAAATAAATATATTTTGTTCCTGATTAATTTCCGTGTTTCAGCAATTTCCATAGTCACACGTAAAGATAGATCATGACATCATACATTGTGGTGGCTAGAAGCAAGTTGCTTCTAGTTTATAGATCATATTTACAATCATGATTTGTTTACATCAGTATTAACAATCAGCAGGCAAAAAAGAAAAAAAATAAAAAAAAAAAAAAAAAAAAAAATAAAAAAAATATATAAAAAAAATAAAAATAAAATAAAAAAAAATAAACAAATAAAAAAAAATAAAAATAAAAAAAAAATAAAAAAATAAAGAATATAAAATAATAATAAAAAGAACATAAATAAACAAGGTTGAAAAAGGGGAAAAAAAAAAAGAGCTTCATCTGTATACTTATGCGTACTACGTTCTTTTAGATATTTCTGCATACATAAGTTGACAATGTATCAGCATATGTATGAAGAAATATCTAAAAGAACGTAGTACGCATAAGTATGCAGATGAAGCTATTTTTTTTCCTTTCTTCAAACTTTTTAGTCCAAAGGGGCAATTTGCCCAGAAGGACAATTAATTTCCTTTTGGCATTTTGTGTCGATTCACGATAAGTGTTGTTTCACTTTTCAAACTGTTGCCATCAAATATTATCGCCCTGCATTATATTTAAAGAAAATAAATTATGAAGAATCTGCATGAATGTATGTATGCTTCTCGTACTGTGATAAAACAACGGTACTTAGAACCATCATGAGCATTTGGAGGCATCATGGGCATGTGGAAGCTCTAACCTGAAAGTTTAATTTGTTTTATTATCGATTTCATATTTTGTAACACTTAACGAATTTTTCATTAACAAAATAAACGATTTCAAAGCGAGCAATGGCAACACTATATAAGATATTTCTCCCGCCTTCGTGATGTAGTGGTTGGTTCTGCACACTGGGCCGGTATTCCAGAGGTCCGTGGTTCGGTTCCAGGCAAAGGCGTTGCTAATTTTCCAATTAACCTAGTGTCTCTAGAGTGGCGCCAGACCTAAAAGGGTGTTGGACGAGGATTCTCCACACCCAGGATTTAGCGATTGGGTCCCCTAAAAACCCCAGTCGTCCTTTAAAAGGGGGGAGTATATAAGGTATTTCTCCCGCCTTCCTAGCGTGCCTTCGGGGTGTAGTGTTTCTGCACGCTGGGCCGGTATTCCATAGCTCCGTGGTTCGATTCCCGGCGAAGGCGGTTGCTATTTTTCATGTTTCCTGCTTCCAAAAAATCCTAATGTCTCTAGAACTGCACACACACAAAAAAAAAAAAAAAAAAAAAAAGGGGGGGGAAAGAAAAGAAAACAGTTTTATCTCCAGCGCGCAAGACTTTGTATCGGAAATTCTAAAGATATGCTCATTTTAAAATTATTTTGCGATATTGCTGTTGAACTGAATTTTATGGTTTAAGTGCAAAGAACATGATATTTAATAAAGAAAGGTAGCACGCAAAGTTAAAAAACGCCCCTTTGGACGTAATTTAAATCTGAAACCTTTCAGATATATATTTTTTTTATTTATGTCCCTTTCGTTATTATTTTATATTCTTTTTTAATTTTGACTGCTGATTGTAAATATTGATGTAAACAAATCACAATTGCAAACATGATATATAAACTAGAAACAAAATCAAGTTGCTTCTAGCCACCAGAGGAGCATGTATAATGTCATGATCTACCTTTACATGTGAATAATAATGTACTGCTAGATATAATGTAATTTCTGAAAATCAGTTATCGCAAAAGCATACGTAACAGCACATAATGAATCGTCAAAATTGAATTGCTAAAGTATCATCACAACTCTATAACTAAATATAAGCTTTGCAAACGATTTTATAGTTCTAACTTAATTCTGATAGTAAACACTGATGTAAACAGATCATTTTTGCAAAAATCATTTGTAACGTTGGAACATCACACCTATATCTACTGCGATATATAATGTGCTGAAACATGATGCCTGTACTCACCACAATAGATAATACCTTAAAACATGTACCTGTACAACTATGTATATCGTAATGTAATATCACGTAATGTAATGCATTTTACTTGAGCTAATTTAACGCTGAAAGATAGGAGTGCTGCTGATGCCGCTGGCGGTGGCAGAACTTGCAGTGTTGACTGGAGTCGCAATTTCATCACGACTCGAGAAATGTTGTTGGTTTTTTAGTTAGTGTGTGGAGCTAATACCTACTTACTTAGGGTAAATATTAAGTGGCCCCTTCACTTTTACATAACATAACATATTAAGTTCGATATATGAGGAATATATCGAAATATATGAATGAATGACATGCATGAATGAATGAATGACTGCATGAATGAATGAATGACTGCATGAATGAATGAATGACTGCATGAATGACGAAACACGAATTGAATGATTGGAGAGTTAGGTTTGGAGGCAACTTCCCCTTGATAAGTTTGTCTCCTGCCTGCTCAACAATCATTCACTTATGCATTTTTAAAAAAATTGTTTGGATTAATTTTAATTTGCTAAATTAGTGAATTTATTTTCATGGATTGGTTTTGCACTTGATTTGCTTATGCTTCTGAATTTGAATGATATTGTAGATTAGTTCGAGAATTAAATCTTTTATATGTTTGCACATTTTTTTTAAAATTATTTAGGCTTTAAATTTGCTTTCTTTTTTACTTTAAATTTGCTTTTTTACTTTTATACGTGTTTGTTAATTTCGATATAAATATCATTGTCTCTCTTCCCACCTTTAAAACAAAATTTTGTTCTTGATTGAAACATTTGGTTTTAGAAATCGGTGGAATTGTATTCAGAATTTATGCCAGTTTAAGGCTGTTTTTTGCCTTTTTTTAAGGGGCAAACCTAAATTGTCACAAGTCAAATATTTTCTGTTTAAAAAAGCAAATAAGTGCTATAAAATTCAATGAATGAAATATAATAAAATTTTAAATAAGTTAAACTGTACGTCTAAATTATTAGGTTTATATTAGAATATCTGCCCATCTAATAATGTAATAAATAATTAAAAGAACAAAAAAAAAAAAAAAAAAAAACTGAAAGGTTTCAGATTTTAAATTACGTCAAAAGGGGCATTTTTTTAACGTTTTGTGTGTTACCTTTATTTATTAAATATCCCGTTCTTTGCACTTGAACCATAAAATCCAGTTAATAGCAATGTCGCAAAATAATTTTAAAATGAGCCTATCTTTAAGATTTCCGATACACAGTTCTGCGCGCTAGAGATAAAAAGGTTCCCCCACCCCGTAGAATGTTGCCATTGCCATTTTTATTTAAGTTCTTCAAATATAATGCAGGACTCTAACATTTGGTGGCAACTGTTTGAAAAGTGTGAACGGACATTTATAGTGATTCAACGCAAAATCGCAAGACGAAAACAATAATCCTTCAGGAAAAAAAGCCCCTTTTGACTAATAACAATAATTAAACTGTTTCAAGACGCAAAAAACAATGATTTAATTAATGAATGAAGTAAGCATTTAACAGGAAAGTGGGTGAAATTATATATGAAATCAAATAAGTGTAAGAGCAATAGGTTATGTAATGACTGGAAGGTTATAAGAGACCAATCATTACATAACTTATTTCTCCTTATGTAATGAAGGTGTGAGATTTTAGTATCAATAAGTTACTATATTTTAGTTCTTAAATTTTGGTAAAGGAATGTAATATAACTTTGGCGAAAGAATTTGGCTATGATTATAATAGAATATTGCAGCCAACAGTCATTAAATTGCTGTTGTTGTTGTTACCTATCTTACTTGTTTGATAAAAGTCAGCACAAACCCGCGAGACAAGGAAACATATGCGCCTGTCGTTGGCAAGAGCCTTGAGCGCCATATAGACGATGGTCCGACTTTAGCTCTTCCGTCTTACGGATCCGACGGTCTCCCACTCATCGTCGCCTACTGTCAACCTCTCGAAAAAACTTTCGGCTCGCTACATCCAGAGTGCTCCATGCAGAACAGACACTATATATTT